ACTTGATTTCTAAAACCTACAACAAACAGATTGGAAGCCTACCTCTCAAAAACCAATGACCCTCTCCGACAAATAATAAAATACCAAATCCACTCCATCAACAAAGAAGCTGCACTTGTCAAGAAACAGCTTAATATAGCTGAAATCCTAGCAACAAAAAGCAAAGTAAATACTGCCTATGCCAAACAAGTAAAACAGAAAGCAAAACAAATTGGCCAAATGAAAGTACAAAAAAACTGGGAGGACAAGGCAATGCATGGCAAATACCTAAAAAGAATGAAAGAAGCAGATGTAGACCAACAGAAAACACATCAGTGGCTGAGGAGCACTGGGTTGAAAGCTGAGACAGAAGGTGTAAATGCACAGAATTCTTGATAATGTGGGAATTTGAATCATACAAGTCATAAAAATTCATGTTGTACATTCTATGATAAAACTTGACACCCTGTAAATGTCTTATTATCATGATTTCTAACAAGGACAGCAATATCATAAGATGAAATTCTGATAATATATTACTCATATCAATATACCTTGACAATTTATCCAACATCATTTAGTCAATACTAATAGTAAAATAGCTAATTAGTGTTTCATGCTCAACAAATGAAACAACAGTGGCATTATTATTAAGTGCCTCCATGGATAACTGGAAATATTTTATGTAAGGCTGAATACAATAAGAAATAATTGTGGTTAATTTTGTGATGACAGAACAACATTTTACTTTCTGTTCATATTGCAAAGTGTGAAATGTTGAAATAGGTAAGATGCAGTGGAAATAATTTTTAAAATGTTGAAACCCAAAACCTTGTGCATATGAAACACATATAAATGCAATATATATGGATTATGCCTATAAACAAACAAATGAAAGATTACTATGTTCAAAACTATCATTATATATATATATATATATATATATATATATATATATATATATATTTTGAAGATTATTCTGAATGTATGAAGGAGGTGGGTGGGGGTAGCTGAAAAGTTCTCATCCTGACCCACTTCCCAAAATCTAAGCAAATGATCAAACATACAAAATTATTTTAGATATCCTTTTGGTTGGGTCCAGAATTTTTCAGCATCCTAAAATTTAATATGTTGGAGTACATTTATTAGGAATACAGAATTTCAAGCAATATTAACCGGTTCAGCATTCTGATCAACGCATTTTTGGATCTTCTACAGGTGATTAAAACACACATCAGGAGATAATGAAATGATTTTGGTCCACCCTGCTACCCAAAATTTTATTTCTTGCACTATCTATAAACTTATCAGCACTCCTTGTGTATAATGTGCATATATATATATATATATATATATATATATATATATATATATTATAATTATTTTCAAAAATATGATTCCATTACTACATAAGAGTTCTCATGTTTCAAAAACAGAAACTAAAAACTTCAATTTAATTATAAAAATTAAATTGAATTACAGTACTCAGCTCTGTTTCATTCTCAAGTGAATTTTGGAATAACTAATCTTGAATAATCTTATGGAGCTTTATAAGCATATACATTTGTAATGTTAATTACTATGGAAAATGGCAAAACTATTTTAATAAGGGGCGTAAGGGTTTACATATTCACTGACAACTATTGTATCAACATATTAGTTACTTTCGGAAAGAGGTTAAGTCAAGGTGGTGTCGGAGTGCCTATTTTCAAGCAAATGATGACATCCACTTGATGCATATTGCCTGGTCTATTTCAATGACAGAGAATTATTGGCATTTTTGTTACGCCATTAAATTCGTATTTGTATATCTAAAGATTTTTTTCTAAAAGGGTTGTTTGTATATAAATATATCGTATTGAACTAGTTTGGTTTTTGATGACTTCCTAAAGGGTTTTTTTTATCTTATGATTGGATTAAGCTTTTAAACTTATTGCTTTAATTGAAATCATTTATAGACTATGAAATTTTAAAATTATTAAGCTAATTATTTAAGGAAAAACTTTATTGATGCCGACAAAAAAAATGTTAACTCATGTCTATGATTTAATAAATTTTCATTTTTTAGAAACTTAATAATGTGTAGTTTTTCATGTAGGCATAAAAGGCATTGGTCATCCCAGGTTTTACAAGTTCTTGTTCTATTTATTATTTTCCATTTTACTTTTGGTGTTTTATTGGTTTGTTTTAAATGCCAAAAATATTTGGATATGGATGTCTGATTTCTGTTTCTAATATTATTGAAATAGCTTTGTGTTTTCTCCATCTAATTTTAAATTCATTCTTCATGGATCCTATATATATCATTTCACCGTTAGGATTCTCACTGGATGAGATTGTGCATTGGTATACCACAGATTCTATGCAGCATTTATTTTCCAATGGATGTAGTGATGGAATCATATTTTTTAAAAACAATTATGATTTAGGCTCTACTTGTGTATTGAGCACTATTTTTAAAAATAAAAACAAAAATACTAAAGAACTTCTGATTATTAACCTAACGGTTCTTTCCTATTTTTCTATATATTTACACGCACACACACACACATATATATATATATATAGAGAGAGAGAGAGACGGACAGACAGAGACAATGTCGAGATAGAAATCACTGTCATTTCATGCCTTAGGCTATGTTTAGCATGATTTATTTAATTTTTTTCAAATGTACTTTTAGTCACTTATTTTCAGAACACACTAGGAATGTATGTCCACAACTTTTTTAGTATAGAATATTTCTTTTTTTTCTGCCAAACATCTGGAAACTTTTTTCAACAGCTACTTGTATGTGCATATGCTTAAATAGATATAAACACACATATGTACACACACATACATACATACATATATATATATATATATATATATATATAAAGAGAGAGGTGGGGTCAGAGCCATTTGTAAGGCAAGCAAGCTGGCCACCTGTATTATCTTGATATAGACAACACATTCATACTCTCACAACTAGTGGATAAATTTTCAGTTAAATTTGGCTTTGTGTTGATGCAAGCTGGTTGCTAAAATGTCTATGACTGCGATTGCTGCATGTAAGCTTTTAGAGTTCAGTAATGGCTTTTTCTGCAACTTAGAGCTACCATCTCCTGCTAATATCAGCTGGTTTAACTGTTGGTTACCAGTTGAACATGTGGTTCTAAGTTCAGTTATTTCATACATGGGTTAAACATTTGGGGATGTCCATGGTTAGCTGAGTCCAGTCATTTTTTTGATTGTCCTTTTTCTTTTTTGTTAAAAATTCTTAACATTATTTTGCTGTTGGCACTGATTTCTTTGAGTTGCATACTTACAAAGGAATACATTTTTGTTAAGTTGGGGTATCATCTTTATGACAAAGGTTTATTCTACCATAGTCAGATTCCAGTGTATTATTCCTATGTTAGCCATGTGTTTTTCAGGTTGATCTCTAGTTGATATTAAAGTAGATAGACTTCAAGATTGGAGTAGAAACTGCATCTACTTGCACCTGTTCTCCTGCAATATAATGCAGAACCAAGTGTTGATGTCACATGCTGCTGCTACTGAGACCTCTCGTGTTAGTGGCAATGATGCTGAGACCTTGAAACCAGGCTTGTGATAAGGATATTGTTTGACTTACTACTCTTATTAAAAAAGTCACTAATCACTTTATATATGCTTATACAATATATGTGTGCATGTGTGTGTGTGTATGTATATATATATATATACACACACACACAGATAACTTTAAATATTCTTATACATTTTATATATACAGAATGTCCAAAAAGTTTTCCTGATTCTTCAATGAGATGGCAACTTGCCTCAGCTGCATTTCAATTATTACTGATAGTAATGTCTTGCAGCAGCAATTAGTTAATTTTGATTTAGTTTAAAAGCCATGTTCCTGAAGGCTTGAAGACTAAACTGCAATAATACAATAAAATAAATAAAAAAGAGAAATCTTTTGGACACTCTGTATGTATATATATATATATATATATACATATACATATATACATATATATATATATATATATATATATATATATATATATATATATATATATATATATACACACACATATATATATATATATATATATATATATATATATACACACACATATATATATATATATATATATATATATATATATATACACACACATATATATATATATATATATATACACACACACACACACATATATATATATATATATATATATATATATATACACACACACACATATATATATATATATATATATATATATATATATATACACACATATATATATATATATATATATATATATATATATATATACACACACACATATATATATATATATATATATATATATATATATATATATATATATATATATATATTGATTTGTACAATCCAAAAGCACACATTGTCAAGAATCTTACAGTGATTCTGTACATTTATCCTCACAGCATCATCCACTTTTGTAGGGGTCATCAGCATTAAGACATACAATACAAGCTTGAACCATATTTCCCCACTTCCTCTTTACTGTTTCTATGCTGTTTTGCTTGACTGTTTCCATGAGGGATTCAAATTCAAACTCTGGTTCAACCAATATATTTCCCCTTTACTAATTAAAAATCACTGTTGAGAAATGAGCTTTTGTAGACTTCTTTGTCCAGCTTCTGTTTTATACTTCATGATGTTGTAATGGTAGAATTTAAGGTGCTTTAATATAACTTTCATAACTTTAGAATATCTTGTATTTCATTATATTTATAAAAAAAATTGCCAGTAACCATACTTGACTGTTTTTTTTACAACTTTTCAATCTTTTGCAGGTTATTTAAAACCCAAAAATATTTTTGGATTGTAAATGATTGTAATGATGTACTGAAACAATTCCTAATATTTAACCCATAGCTGATGGGAGAAGAGGTCGATTCATAATTTTCACAATGTTAACTATGCCTAAGAAAATATAATGAAACTGATTGGAATTGGAACTTGAAATTATCCATTACACCACTAACACATCCACACTTACAGCACCTGCTATTCCCAAGTGGTTACCCATCTAGGTACTGATCAAGTTTGATGTTGCTTAACTGCAGTGATTGAATGTGAACTAGTGTTTCAACATAACATGACTATAGGTCATATATATATATATATATATATATATACACAAGCCTCAATGTTATATATATATATATATATATATATATATATATATATATATATATACCTCAATATAAAATGAGAACAAATTCCAACATTCATAACATTCAATTTAAAAGAGGGCTCAATACAAAAATAGACCAATATTCTTTTTCTTCGCTTTTCTTGTGAAAAGGTGTATCTTGTTTTTAAATCTCAATAAATTGTCTACTCACCACTTACTTACTAATGACCAATGAAATGTGTTAATATGCATCGAAATATGATTGCATTTGTATAGTGTTTTTTTTTTTTACATGTTTTTGATGTAATATCCTAAAATAAAGTGCATATATATATATATGATAAATAGTGGAAAAAGGTTTTGTGTGATGTATTCCCTCATTTAAGGCTTCATTTGACTAGAGTGATGTTTACACTGATGCAACTACACATGTATATGCGAGACAGGAGATGTTGAGAATTTTTAATTGAAATTAAATTTTTTTTAAAATAAATGTGTTTTGGTTATATAGTTGAGTCGCTTTCATTTGATTTCTTTTTCTCCATCGATTTTGTCATAGTTTCCCTAAAATTGTTCCTGATATATACAAATTTATATATCATTTTCCTGTATATATATATTTCCAAATATAATGCTGCATAAAATCTCATGCAACAAAATAATTTATGCAAATATTTCTCATGAAATCAGTTGGAATTCACATGGCATATAAGTATATCCTGGAAAATTTTCCAATATTGATAAATACAGATTTTGTTGCAAAAACATAAACTTGAAGAGTAATCGATGAACTTATAAATATTGCAGTATAGTATTTGGATAACTAATGTATATATATATATATATATATATCATTGACTGTAAATATTGGACTTAGCCATCTGAGTGTCATCAATATCTCACAAGTAATTTCTTTGCTTTGTAGTATCTAACAAGATTATCAAGTGAGAAATTGCTTTTTCTTTCATTCCTATTCTGACAGTCAGTTAGAGATTTAAGGCAATTCATGGATAAATGAAGACAGTAAAAACCATGATTGTCCTGGTATAGTATATACAAGATCCAATTGAATACAAGGCACTTTGGAGCCGGATTGGCTATAGGAGTTGCCAGAAGATTGTCAGGGCTCCACTCCATATTTTCTGTCTGGATTTACTTTCAAAGCATTTTCAGTTTTGGGATATGCCAGGGCAGTGGAGATTATAACCAGGGTTTTCATTTCCCCTAGAAAGTTGGTTATGGGGTGCCAGTGTTCTGACTTCATCTCTTTTCCCGCTTAGAGCAGAATCTAAAGTTACTTGAGACCCACTGCTGGTTATTCACAACCTTTGGAACATATATAACATACATATATAAATATGCATTATATATTTTAGAAGCTCCCAAAGCATTAACACTAAGTTACCCCAGAAAAAAAAAGTCCCTCTTCATTTTGCTTTTTTTTACATTCCTTGTCTTATTGAGAAAGAAAAAAGGCATGCCCAGAAATACTGATTTTTAAATCTTTCCCATCATGCTTCAATATGGTCAAAAGGCCAACAAATATACAATAAATATTATTAGTATTATTATCAATATTATTATTTCTATTGTCTTTTTATCCCAAAAATTTCTTTCACCAGCCTATTATATCTTTTATATATATAGATATGTGTGTGTGTATATATATATATATATATATATATATATGAGTTGAAGATCAAATGTAGATCAGATATGAATAAGAATCTGACAAAATGATAAAATAAAGAACAAGCAGGAAACGTTTCTCAATCTCAACATGTCTCATTTTTATTAAAGCTTCATCAGAGATCTAGATAGAAATGAAAAATACAAAGAGACACAGACTACTGGTATGTTATGATTTTTGGTTAGTTCTTATTGCTCAGATACATTCCATGTGTATTAACGCATAGATAATATATAAATATGCTTTGGACATTATGAGCGTGTATGTAAAGAAACGCTTGTTTGTCTAGGTGTATGTTGGGCATTAATGTTAATTGGTGTGGGTGTATAAGTGTGTGTGAAGAATGTCTATAGATGTCATCCTCATACATGGTGGTGAAATGTTGCAATAATTTTGTACCTTTTTACATTTTTATATTCTCATGTATGTATATATGTGTGTGGAATGTTTGTTGTTGCCAACTCTGTGTGGATCAGTGAAATGCAGCAAATTATTGTAATAATCATGTTTTGGTTGCATTTATCATTAAAGCATTTCTCATGTGTATTCTTGAAAAGGATTTGTATATGTTTTCATTATTTTATGTATTAGATAGAAAAAAGTTAGATTCATGATTAATAGAAGTGTATAAAGATGGTGATGTGATGTAATGTTTTAAGTGAGTGTTTATAGTTGGTAGTAATGCTATAAATATGTTTTCATTATATTTTCTCCTTAAAGGTTTATAATTTTTTTAATTAGGCTGGCATTAGTAAAATCAAAGTTATGTTCCATGTCATTTCGATGCAAGATAATAGAGTTAACATTTAGGTAGTCTAGTCTTACATTGAAATGACATGGGACATAACATATAAAAAACAAGTGGCATATCAAACATATTTTGTCAATGGTTCATAAAACAAATTTAAGAAAAAAAATAAGACCAATTCTTTGTTAAAATCATAGATGCTGCCAAAGCAACGTTCATCAATTAAGTAAAGTAATGTTACCAATTCAAAGAGAAGAATCTTCATGAAAGAAAGAGATTCATTGCTTCAATAGAACAAAACCATTGAAAAGAGAATGACTGTAAAAAAAAAAAAAAAAAAAAAGAAGAAAATAAATAAATAAAAATATTGTAATAATCATGTTTTGGTTGCATTTATCATGCAGATATTTTCAAAAGGATTTGTATATGTTCCCATTATTTTATGCATTAGATAGACAAAAGCTAGAATCATGAATAATGGATCTGTAGAAAGATGGTGGAGTGATGTAATGTTTTAAGTGAGTGTTTATAGTTTGTAGTAATGCTGTAAATATGTTTTCATTATATTTTCTCCTTAAACGTTTATGTTCTTTTTTTAACTAGGCTGACATTAGTGAAATTAAAGTTATGTTCCATGTTGTTTCAATGTAAGATGAGAGGGTTTAGACAGATATTCTCTCTTGTCTTACATCAAAACAACGTGGGACATAACATAGAAAAGTAAGTAGTGTACCAACCATATTTTGTCAATGGTTCATAAAACTTTATGAATTTAAACAGCATTACTAGATTGTTAACAATGTCTCATCATTTTACAATTGAAATGGCGAGATGTAAGTGTAAGTTCTATGCTAAGAGTTTCTTCTATTACACTTTCCACTTGTGGAATTCCCGTCCAGCTTCTTGCTTCTAGTCAACTTTGATCTTCAAAAATTTAATTGTAATGTCTATCATTACATTCTGACTTCTTAATTCTTGTTCATTTATTGTTCTCTATCTCCTTAACAGTATTTTCTCACACTCTCTTAACATTCAGTAACCCATTGCACCTTAGTGGCTTTATTGCCTTTCTTGGGATAAAAGCAAATATATGTATATGATAAAAATATAGCTTTAAGGCATGTTATTTATGTGCTAAAGTGCTCCATGTCAGAGATATAGTTTATGTAAATATAAAAGTGGACAATGAGGTCAACACCTGGTGGCGAAAGTCTGTCTCATGCTTAAACGTAATTGTCCCATATATATATATATATATATATATATATATGTATAAAATGTCAGAGAAACAAAAACATTAGAAAGCAAGATAAATTACAAAAGTGTAATCCTGTTATAACTAAAGAAATATTTCATCAATATGATATCGGAAAAAAATCCCAGTCCCAACTGATTAATTTGCACAAGGCCGTAAGTGACTAACTTTCATTGTTTGTTCAATATATCCTTTTGCATAAATTATTTAAAATAGTACTTGAAGATTAAGAATGACTTATTTTGGCTCTTTAACTCAGAATGCTTAGTCTTTCCTATAATGTTGTTATTGATCTGCGAGAACAGGTAAACTGGTAATATATCTTTTTTTTTTTGTTTGATACTGTTTCCAAATAGACAATATTCTGCACTTATGTAACCTATGTATTATCATGTTATCTTGATCATTAAAACTTTTATGTTTTTCCCTATAGTCTAGTATTAATGTCACTGGCTTGTGGCTAAGCGCTTTTCAATTCCTTCCTCTAATGGTTATGTTGAGCAAGTACTTTGATCCTGGATAATGTCTGACAACCTGCCCACTGGCCTGATTACTTTACTATCAAGATATTTGTGGCTAACTGGGGAAAGTTTACAGCTGGCTTGACCTTTGGGAATTTGTTTAAGTTTTAATGACCCTAGCTTTAAGGCCTTTAAAATTCTCTGTAATGCATGAGCCCTGAGTACAAAACCAAGTCAGGAACAGAATGTAGGAAAGATCAGATGTATGATTCAAAATATACAGTTGTTTAACCCCCACATATTGAACAGAGGGCAAAAGCAATGAGACAACCAGGTGCTATGGACACACAGGCTAACAATTCAAAGAAGCTGGGGCTTGGATTCAAACTAACGTTGAACTGTAAAAATTCAATTTTAAAACAGCTACACTCACCTAAGATGCTATATGTGAGCGATCTGGGATTGCAAAGGGAATATTTGTCGCAGATTACTTCCACAACGCAGAGAATAAATCACTAAGTTCAGACTCGAACACCGGGGACAGAAAGAAATGCCAAAAACTCAATTCGCAGGTACTATCTCACAAATCCCAATGCATGTAACCAATCAGAAAAATAACTCACTCTCCAATGAACGCGGTAGCCAAAATGCACCAATTTTTATCCCCGATTCAAGAACAGCAACTGCTTTTATCGGCCGAACATTTTTTTCATTCTTCGACAACTAGGAGAGGATGCCCAATTTTTGCATATCAAAATACTTTTACAGTGACTCCTGCAACGGACTTATTTTTAATTTAAAT